TTCAGGGAACATTGGTGCAATGTAGCTTCTACCGGAGCGGCATGTGAGGTGTTCAGGGAACATCGGTGCAATGTGGCGTCAACCGGAACGGCATGTGTGGCGTTCAGGGAACATTGGTGCAATGTAGCTTCTACCGGAGCGGCATGTGTGGCGTTCAGGGAACATTGATAAAATCTAGCGTCTACCGGAGCGGCATGTGAGGTGTTCAGAGAACATCGGTACAATGTAGCGTCTACCTGAGCAGCACATGAGGCATTTATGGAACATCCGTGCAATGTAGCTTCTACCGGAGCGGCATGTGTGGCGTTCAGGGAACATCAGTACCAGAGCGGAATGTGTGGCGTTCAGGGAACATTGGTACAATGTAGTGTCTACCTGAGCGGCACATGTGGCGTTGACTTTAACAAAAATATTACAAAACGAACACACACAAAACAAAACTGATGCTGGATGAGTCCACATGTCGTCGCTGTGTTTGCTCTGTTGGATTGTGTTACCTTGCCATTTGACGATAAGGACTCTTGTTTTTGTAGAGCAGAATTCAGAGTCTCCAGGACGACTACTGTTGTAGAAACGAGACATAAAAACATGCTGTTATCTTGTCCACGGTACATTTACGGTTTCCGACGCTCATAAGCTACGTATTCCATCCAAACGTTAAGCAACATTTGACCCAATTCCAATAAAATATGCACGTTTTTACCATTACAGCAACTTTTCCACTCGAGTGCAAAGACCGTTTTGCAGTATTTTTTAGATTTAAGGCATTTGCACATATAAACAATTACATGGAAACACATCTACAAGCGTATATGCGTCTAAGTTCTTTACCTGGACGTAATGATATCGTGAGGACAGGCACTTTCTTTCCGTTGCTTTGGTCTGTTTTTCCATTCACCTCCTCGTTCTGCTCCGGCACCTGCAGAACAACACCATACGTGAGTCCTGTTGGTCCTCTTTTTACCGCAACTCTCAAACACTCCATATTCTGCACGTTTAGAGGTTTCCTTTTTGGGGGTGTACTAGAATGTGTTTGCATGCTTTCATGTTCAAAAAAGTCATTATTTTTTCTCATAATGCACATGAGGCTCTGTTTTAACTCCTGTCTCTTTAAGGCCCGGTCTGCTCTGATTGGTGAACGAAAGCTCCTCATGTTGTGATGGACTTAGAGTTCAGTTTTAACATACTATACCTTGTGGTTGTGGTCGCTGGTTGGCTCTGGTTCTTGTTTAACCGTACAGGAGGATGAAGGCAAGACAGCAGGAGACGGTGAGGATACTGGTGGATTTACATCGCTGTCAGGACTCTTCTGCAGCTTTGCTCCACCTTGTAAGTCTAAAGGTGAATCCTCTCTGGCCGCCTGGCTGGATTTGGACTTCCCTCGGTCAGACAGGTCCAGCGGTCCATCGTATGCTTCTCCAGAGACACTCTCAGCCTTTAAAGACGACGGGCTTTCCTTCTTCTCCGGAGATGTAATTTGACTCTCTGCAAAATCTGTCAAGCCTCTCAACTTGAAGACCACCGTCGGCTCTTTGCTGGGGGGCTGAGAGGCGCTCTGCTTCTGCCAGGGAGAACCGAAGCCGGGTCTTCGAGGGCTTTGATGTTGGCTGCTTGGGATCAGGTTGGGGAAGCGAGGCAGGTTTAGCTTTGGAGACATATGCAACAGCGGGTTGGTGCCTGCGGCCGCCATGTTGACCCACTCAGAGGACTCGGATAAGGGCCAGGGGAGGGAAACTGGGCTGCTCTTGGTGGGTTGGGGGCGGCAGGGAACAGGAGCGTGGAGAACATGTCTGCTGGGCTTCACATCTCCACCAGCTGATGAGGAGGAGGAGGAGGAGGAGGAGGTCTTCAGGTGAGGGGGGATGGAGAAACGCTGGTCTTCAACACCTTGAGATCTAAGACATGGAGGAAAGTTTGTGGAGGTCAGTGGGGAACAGCGCAGGAACAAGGTGCCTAAAATGCTGGTATTCACACAAAAAGGTGCAAAAGTTGTCAGAATTTACAGGATTTTAGTAGCTGATAAAGTAATGGTTGGCAGCTGATCGAATAATTCATTAAAGGAAGAGTTCATTTGCAGAAACAGATAATTCCATCTTCACAAACCTTCAGAAAACCCACTTTCCCATCGTCTACCTGAGACAACATCGATCAAACTTAAGTTATCTTTATTTTTGTCATTTCTTGGGGTCGCTCCCATGGCATTTGTAAACATTACCTACAAGTTCTGACAATGTTTTAAAAAAAAACAACAAAAAAACGTTTTATTTTTTTGTTCAAAGAAGGTACCAAGGACGTATCTTATTACAAATAATGTTCCCATGAGGTTAAAAGTGAACTAAGACGGAACGTTTTAACATTCTGACGATGTTTGAAGGATGTTGTCAGACTAGATAACAAAAGAATGCTCATACCTGAATTTAAATCCTAATTTTGTCTTTTTTAAAGCTTATTTAAAGAAAAAACAAACTTGCACACCAGCACATTCTCCAACATCATGTTTCTGGTTGATAGATTGTCCCATTTAGGAACCAGTGCTGGTCACCAGTGCCGAGTGGGAAAACATCTCTGGCCATGAAGATCTGCACCTCGTCAAACTCTGTCAGTTCCTATTATCTCATCATTTCTACCAACTGTAGCACATCAATGACACCCAACGGTGCATTTATTGTCTAACACAGGGGTTCTCCACCTTTTTGACCCCTAGGTCCAAGTTTCCCAGTACAAAGTACAAATATGAGCACTTTCATTTCAATTGATCCGAGTCCTGGTTTGATTTGACTTCAGGAACTAAATCAAGTCCACTTACAGTTTAACAAGCTTAAACCTTCTAAAATAAATGATATGATAGCTGTAACCTATTTTCTTTTCTCCTGAAAAATAACACCGGCTTCCCAACTAGTTTTGGATGTTTGGTTTCGAGATGCCGCCGTAGCTTTGGAGGCTTCAGTGCTTCCTTGGCTAGCGTAAATTTGGCCTTTGAGGAGGGGGTGGCATCACTTCCATCTTCATTTTTTCTTTTTAAAAACTTTTCCATAATTTAAATTAGTTGCGGCTGGCTGCTGGGGGGTCCTACGGCCCTCGCGGCCCACAGGTGCAGAACTGCAAATTTTTCTTGGCCCAGTAGGCGGCCCCATGGTTGATCATCACTGGTCTAATAGACACCAAACCTTCACATGTGGTATCGTTCCATCGGTTCATGGATTTAACCAACAGCAGTGTCTTAAAGAGGACTGACTCAGCTGCAGGTGTCTCCATAAGAGACACCTGTACAATACTAAAGACAAGTTTTTCTAGTCGTGCTGAGGCATGCACCCTTTAATTCTGCTCTTCAGGAGAAAGCAGGCTGATTCTGTAATTGCTTGTATGTTAAAACTGAACTCTAAGTCCATGACAACATGAGGATTTATCGGTTTGTTGGTGGTTTTAAAGGGATCAAAGCTGACCTTAGTAGCCCTCCTCGACTCCAGAAACAGTTATTTCTGTTTTTTATTTGTTTTGGGTGTCGTTGATTTGTTTGACAGTTGTGATTTTTTTTCTGTCTCACCTTCTCTCCCTTGTGTTGGGTTCCACCTTCCAGATGGGTAAAGTCAGAGACGGAGACAGTTGAAGAGGCTTGTAGGACTCCTGTGAGAGGAGAGGATAGTAAAAAGCAATAAGTCAACACAGTCGTAGCTGTTTTATCACATAAATGACAGTAATGGTTTGACATGTTGGAGAAAAATAAGCTTTCATTCGGACAGTTTGAGAAGTCTCAACAAATTTAAAGCAGGTTAGCTTAGCTTAGCATAAAGAGTGGGAACAAAGGAAAGTTGAACTGACTTTATATCGGTGAAGGGTTCAACAGAAAATTAAATGTAAGTGAAGTTTAGTACTGCTGGTAGGGGAACTTCTGGGTAGCTTGTTTCCAGTCTTTATGCTAAGCTAACTGGCAACAGCTACGTGTTTGATGGACACATAAGAGCGTGGTTTAGGCATATTGGTAATACTTTTGATTGTCGCTCCCATACATTAAGTGTACTTAATTCTAACTTACAGTGTTCAGTAGCTTGTGTGCTAATAGTGTATTAATGCATATAAAAGGGAACAACATGCAAAGTTTAGCCGGTAAAGAGGAAGCAGACATGAATATATTTACTGGATACTGGACATACAGATGTACTTAAAGTTGCCAGAATGGAGCCAAAAAACTTTTCGTAACCTTCTAGATTTTACATTTTCGTGCGAATAATTCCTATTGGAAAGTGTACAAGCAGACCTTGTTTGCAGTTGGAGATGTGATGTTGGTAGCATTTTTAGGCTGCAGGTGTTTTTTATTTTTTGTTGTAGTGCTAATGTATGGGGATTTAAACAATGTTTGTAGGTATTTTCTATTAACATTTAGCATTTGAGAAGAACTTGTACCATTAGTATATTTAACAATAAATTAGAAGATATATTACTGCTATATATATTTTTTTTTATAATCGCACAAAAAAAACCCAGAAAAGGTGCCAGATTGTGTGAATGCACCGACCGGATTGCTGCTTAATTTCTTTGTGCACTGTGCCGTGACAATAAATGAGCTGTATTCTTTTGTATTGTATCCTGTTCTGTTCTAAAGCCAATAATGCCACTGAACAAACACCTGCTACTGAGCTACAATCTGGCATTAGAGAGGATCTAATGCTGTAAGTGTCTGACTGCAGAGTGTTTACTCTGGTCTTATGGGATACAGTATGAGCATTAGTTTGGGGAAAATGTGAGACAACAGATTCTGCAGCAGTTTATAAATATGTGTTTTAGTTATTATAGGCTTTGAGGTTATTTAGTCCTTTTTTTATTCATCACAGGTCTATTTTGGCTATTAGGCAGCACAATGTCACGTATTTTGTACGCTGCTGGACCTGGGTAGGGAAATTCCTTTTTCGGTTTTACACGTTTGAATGACAATAAACTGAACTGAAACTAAATAAATATGATTGAATATTAGTTTTTAAATGACTGTACCTTATGAACCAACGCTATGCGGCAAAGCAGTCAAACAAAACAAAAAAGATAGGATAGGCGAAAGACAAATGCTTTCTTTTCATACGTTCATTAAACTAGAGGGATGCATGTTTACCTGATTCTGTGTTTTCCTGTGCGCCTACTTGAAGATGAACTTGCCTTGATTTTGCCTTAAAATGATGCATAATGCAACAAGAGCTCAGTCTGTCATGTAACTCAGATGTTTTGCATGGAGGGGAAGCGTTTTGCTGTAATTGACGCATACGGCTAAGGACACAGCTAACCGGCTAACCCCACAGGGCGGCTGCGGCTCAGGTGGTAGAACGGGTTGTCCTCCGATCTGATCGCAAGGTTGGCGGTTCGATGCCCCTGTCTTGGGAAAGACACTGAACCAGAAGTTGCTCCCAATGGTAGGCAGCACCTTGCATTTGGTGTACGCCATTGGTGTGTGAATGAGAAACACATTGTAAAGCGCTTTGGATAAAAGTGCTATATAAGTGACCATTTACCCAAGATGCATGACCTTGAGTTTGTCACATCACCAGTATGAGTTCCTATCTGATTGTAATAAGAAACTATGTGTTTATCTTCCACCTTTTCCAAGTTATATTGGATTTAAAATTTGTGATGATTCACAACCTTCTGTATGACCATGACCTTGTCTCCAGGTCATATGTTGCATCACCAGTTTATGGGCCTCAAATGTCCTCCTAAGTTAATGCACTAAACTTATGTCTTTTTGTGCATGTTCACTCATACAGAGCTCTTTTGGGAGATGCGACCTTTGACCTCTGTAGCGTCACCGATCCATGTATTGACCTTAAAATCTAATCACTCTGAGAAGGAACCATAACGAGGTCATGTATGAAGCTTCAGATTTAAACTCCTCTTCTGTAAAGCGCTAGACCGCTAACAGACAAAATAAAATCACGCACGCACACAAAAACACACAATTACTCTGTAGCTGCCCATCGATGGGCAACAACAATAACTACGGGTTCCTTTTACGCTTTTATTGTTCCGACTGAAGAACGTCCTCAGAGGATCGTCAAGCTGCCGTCGTGTCACCCGTAAACTATACGGCGAACGCTTATTTTCTATTTTTTGATAATGGATGCACGTGTGACTAATCTGCAGACCAAATTCTCCAAATCCACACCGTAAAACTGTATTTCAGCTGTAAATAATTTGTTTTTATTGAACCTTTATTTTACCAGAACTGGTTCTCATTTTCAATAACGACCCAAAGTCCTGTTTCAAATGAATCCTACTTGCTTTGGTGAAGGAAGTTTAATTTGGTTTATTCTATCAACTTGAAACTACACTTTGTCCTGTTGAATGACTTTTATAATTTCAGCAAAATTGTGAAAATTAGGTTTGCTGCTATCGAATGTGCGTTTGACTTTTTAATTGTTCTGCTGCAACTCAAACGCAGTTTTCTTCAAAGACAATAAAACACCTGCACGTCTAACGATAACATCACGTTTACATTTGGGTGCTGTTAATACTTTAAAAATTGGAAACTTAAAATTGACTTTTCCTGAATTGAAGTTGCAGCAATGTTCACTTGAGGGAAATCAAATGATTTAAACATTGCATCTAAACCAGTGATAAGATTTTTCTTATTAACTTAATTAGGACAACATTTGTTTTCTGTGCAGTAAAATTGACCTAAATGTGATGAGAAGTTTAGCATTTTTAAACTATAAGTACTCTTTTATGGCTTGTATATGGCATATGAAGCTTTTTTAGGGGCTCCACATATTTTCCATGTCAAGAGAAGAGAATATAAATATCACATGTTCCCAAATTTACTCTATGAGGTACATTAAAGTGGCCTCTCTTGTACCCCAAATGTATGTTGCAGGCACCAGTCTAAACTTTTATCATAAACCTCTGCAAATAAAAAAGGGAATAAGAGCATCATACATACATGTCTCTGTGTTTAACATGCACAAGTGAAAACAATAAAGTTGCATTTAAATGCATACGAGAGGAATCTGATTCACAAACTCACCAGATGGCTTCGGTTCGTTCCTCTCAGCTGCCTCCGCTCGCTCTCTGTTTGATCAAAGCCAGAAATGCAAGTAAGAAGACGAGCATGACAGTCAACAACCAAACAAGCAGGAAAACTCTTCCTTCTTTCTTTCTTACCTTCAGCTCTTTGGTCCACCTCGCGTTTCACTGCAGCATCGCCATCTGCTGGCTGGTTTGCGGCTCTGCCGGCTGCTGGGATGGTGACGAGGGCCACAGGTCCGGAGGAGGACGGCGAAAGCTCAGGAGAGCTGTTTGGTTTGACCTCCGACGTGCTGCTGCTGCTGCTGGAGGAGTAGTTGCTGGGACCTCTGCTAAATATACATCATGGGATTTTAGTTTTCTGTGTGTGAAAAATGTGTTTTCAGAATGGTAGTTGTTATGGCGGTGGTCCTGAAGGCAAAACATGTAGACGTACAGTTGTGACCAAAAGTTTATATCCACTTGTAAAGACCGTGTATATCACGACAGTCTTGAGTTTCCAATGACTTCTATAACTCTGAATTTTCTGAGGTGGAATCATTGAAACACGTCACAGAAAACTGTCACGCATTTTGGTTCCTTCATAGATTTATTATAAATCTTCTGGAAATATACAGGACAGCTGTGGTTCAGGTAGTAGAGTGGTTGTCCTCTGATTGCAAGGTTGGCGGTTCGATCCCCTCCACAGTCAAAGTGTCGTTGGGCAAGACGCTGAACCTGAAGTTGCTCCCAGTGGCAGGCAGCACCTTGCATGGCAGCTCTGTCACCATTGGTGTATAAATGTGAGTCAGTGGGTGAATGAGAAACACATTGTAAAGCGCTTTGAATACCACTAAGGTAGAAAAGTTCCATATAAGAGCAGACTATTACCATTTAAGTCAGAACTTTGGGGTAACCGGTCTAAAACGTTCATTCTAGCCTGATTTAACCATTCCTTTACCGCTTTTGATGTGTTTGGGGTCATTGTCTCGTTGAAACACCCAAATGCATCCTAGACCAACCGTCTGGATGATGATTTGAGGTTTTCCTGAACAACGTGGGGGTATTCCTCCTTCTTCATTATTCA